ATGGCCTCTGCTTTGGCTCCTGCCTCTAGGTTCCTGCCCTGAATTTCCTGGATGATGAACTACAAGCTGTAAATGTCATAAGCCCTTTCTTCCCCAAGTTGCTTTTGGTCATGGTGTTTATCACAGCAATGGAAACCCTAACTACGACAACCCCCATCCATGATTTCACATTCCTCAGTTTCAGTTCCTCATGATGAACCATGATCAGTCCAGGACATTAATATATTTGGAGAGGGGCTGGAGAGATGGTTCAGAGATTAAGAGCACTGATTGCTCTTCCAAAGGACCCAGGTTGAAGTCCATTACCCACATGGCAGCTCATAACTGTAACTCCAGTTCCAGGGGATCTGATGCCCTCTTCTGGCCTCCACATGAGGTGATAGGCATGTGGTGCACAGACATACATGCAAGCAAAATACCCATATGCATAAAATAAGAATAAAAGAGAAAGATGTTTTAAAATATATCTTGAAAGACAGAGAACAAGACTATATTTCACATAACTTTTATTATGCTGTATTCTTATTGTTCCATTTTGATATTATTGTTAATCTTTTATTGTGCCTCACTTGTAATTTGGATTTTATCATAAGCTATGTATGTATCACATACATACATACATACATACATACATACATACATACATACATAAAAACATGATCTATAGAGTGTTTTGTACTTTTCAGGGTTTCAGGAACCCACTAGGGGTGTTGGCATGTGGTCCTCACAGATGGGTGGGAGCTGTGGTCCTCTAGCTGTCTAACATTGGACAAAGAAGCAAGCTTAACTCTGACAAACAGAAACATATCGTGACCGGTGGAGACGTGCATGATCTCATACAGCATACAGTTTCTGAACTATTTATATTGGTAACATTTTACCATTTTAACCTTGGAGAGGCAAATCACCACTTTTGGCTTGATGGCTCTGCCTATGTGATGCTGCAATAATAATACAACACAAAGCTAATAGTCATAGGTGCCTCTCTTTTTATGAGGTCAAACAAAAATCCTTTGTGGTTTTGTCCTATCAGCCCTCTGAGATTTGATTAAGATAGGATTATGTGTTGTTACCTAAGTAACAATAAAATATTTTCCATATAAGCATAGAAGTAAAGGGATGGTAAAGCCTAAAGCTGTTAGCTCCTTCCTAAGTGAGAAGACTTTGCTTTCTTAAGTAATAGAGAAATATGGGAACAGATCCCAAAAGAGAGGGCTTGTTTACCATATGTGAGGCCAGTGGCCATAAAAAGTAGGAAACCCTGGTAGATAATTCTGGGAAGACACAGAATCTTTGTTACCTAAGAAGGTTTTCCAGAAGGTAAGGCAAGCCATTCCCAGCTTGCTGTAAGAACAGACTCAGAATCCAAAATTCTTTGTCTTTTAAACACAGAAATAACAAAACTAGTTTTTCATCAATTTGCTTGGAATTAGAGTTCTTGTGAGAAATTTTATAATTCACCAAAATTTAGCCAGCTTTGACCTAAACAAATAAAATTCCCTTTTGTGAACCCTCTACAACTTTCTGTATCCTTTATAGTACAACGTCCCACTATTGGTGGCAAAAAGAACATATCCTTTAACATATATAGTGGCCTGTAACTTAGAAATAAAAGCAGAGCTAGGGAGATGGTTCACTGGATAAAATACTTACTGCCTAAGTGTAAGGACCAGAGTTTGGATCACCAGCCCATAAAAAAGACAGGGAGGCTTGGTGACCTGCCTGTAATCCCAGTGCATGGGAGGTGGTGACAGAGGGGCCCTAGGGCAAACTGACTGGCTAGACTTGCTGCATCTGGGAGCTCCAGGTTCAGCAAGAGACCCTTCTCCAGTAAATAAAGCGAGACTGAGATGCCCAACATCAACCTCTGACTTCTGCATGCAAGTACACATATGTGCAGTCACATGCATGTGACCACACATAAACACATGAATGTACCATACACTCACATGCACAGATAAGAAGCAAATGCATCAACATTAACCTCTGACTTCCACATGCAAGTACACATATGTGCAGTCACATGCATGTGACCACACATAAACACATGAATGTACCATGCACTCACATGCACAGATAAGAAGCAAATGCGTCAACATTAACCTCTGACTCCCGCATGCAAGTACACATGTGCAGTCACATGCATGTGACCACACATAAACACATGAATGTACCATGCACTCACATGCACATGCACAGATAAGAAGCAAATGCATATAAGCCCAAGGTCCTATGCTAATGCTTCAACATTTCCTTAGAAATAATTAAATTAGGCATCAGCCAGAATTTTCAGTTACCTTACGATCTTACAAATTATCTTAAGCTGATAAAATACAAAACACAATTACTGTTGAAGTCAAGTTTGCCATAATAATGGCTCAACTTGGTTAAACAAATGTACATTTTGCAAACTATTAAACATTTGTTAGAAGTAATGCTAGCTCGTTCCATCAATAAACCTGTAAAAATGTTTAGGAAGAACATATCTAAGTAGACTAAAAATACTCCTGTTTATTATACCTGCAACTGATAAGATATAATTGCGTTTAGTAAATTGGTGTAGCAGTTGGTGTAGCAGAAACCAGAGGCCTCAAACCAGACCAATGATTGTTTGCAATGAACATTTGCAAATAAAGATGTGTGGACTAAAGGGTATACTGTGTAACTCACTGTGTCACAGTACAGCTTCCATGACAAGATTTTTCTTCTTTTCTTTTCTCTTAAATTTTATTTTATTTTGGGGGGATATTGCAAGGCACAGAGTAGATATGAAGGTATCGGGGAGAAGAATGATTGAGATGCATGATGTGAAAGTTACAAAGAATAAATAAAAAGGAAGTTTTTAAAAAAGATAGTCTAACTATGTAGTCCTAGGTAGCCTGGAACTTGCTATGTAGACCAGGCTGGCCTTGAACTCACAAAGATCTGCTTGCTGGGATTAAAGACTTGCACCACCACACCTGGCACTTGGATAGGTTTTTAAAGATTTTTTTTTTTTAGCATGTTGGAAGTCTTGAAAGTTCATTTTCCTCATTTTGTGGGAATTTTAGCAATCTTATCTAAATGTGTATTTATTTCTGTAAGCCAATGAGAATAAAAGTAAGCAGCAGCACCCCGTCCCCATGGCCTCTGCATCAGCTCCTGCCTCCAGGTTCCTGCCCTGTTTGAGTTCCTGTCCTGACTTCCTTCAGTGATGGACTATGATGTGGAAGTGTAGAGCAAATACCCCACCCTCCCAAAAGAAAACAAAACTCCCTTAATCTAAGAGCCTGTTTGCTTGTTGTTGTTTTAATACTGGGAATTGAGCCCAGAGCTTTGCACATGCTGGCCATTGCTCTATCTCTGAGCTTTATCTCCAGCCCTTGGTTTTATGAGACAGGGTTCTGCTGTGTAACCCATGCTGGCCTGCAGCTTAGGATTCTGTGTCTGCCTACTGAGTGCTGGCATTACATGTGTATACCACATACCCCACTTTTTGAGATTTTGATCATCTAATTTGGTAATCCCATCTAGAGGAAAAAGAGATTACACATTCCCACAGAAAATAACTTCAGAATTGTCAGTATTATGGCCATCATTATTCACAACCATCTTCTCTTCCCTCCTCTTGCCTAGCACTTACTGTTCCATCCTGAAAGTGTTTGATGTTCATTAGGATAACACATTAACTCTTTTGATGCATTAAGACAGTAGATTTGTAGAATGTCAATTTTCAGAACTGGAAAATAGCATGCACATGCAAGAACACTCAGAGCCCCACATCTAATTCTCACAGAGGATTCGTGGTTGAACTCATCCTTTCTCTCCTTGGTTTCTTCCCTGTTGCAAACCTAAGTCCAAGCCATTTAGTTAGAACAATTGCTGTGTTCTCTCAGTGAAGCACAGGCAGTATCCAGTGATTTTTTTTAACCAATCTGCTGCTCATCATTGTACCTGTCTTCACCAATTCAGCATGTGAACCAGGGCATCGTTTATAGAGTGTGGAATCTCATTGGAAAGAGATTTCATGAAGTTTTCTACATTACATAAACACTAGAAAGGTTTCTCACAGTAGCAGTGATGCCATTTCAAGCGTCCATGCCTAGATTTTTGTTTCAAGTAAAATCTCATGGGAAACAGAAGGGGGCGGGGTTGCTGGATATTTGAAGTATCTATGGAAGCAAAAAAGACTGTGGCACTTGGAATGGGGCTCTAAAATAAGTCTAATACACTCTTGATAAATAGTGTTCTTTTGTATCTAATCAGCAAGGCTCAAATAAGAGTGCAATAAAAGAGCAAGTGAATGTTGATAAGAGGACAAAGTGAAAGCACCAATACAGAAAAGTGACAGGGCTCCAGTGAAACCAGTGACAATGGTCTGTGTGAAGCAAAATACCTCTAGCAAAGGCTTCTTCACTGCTCATTGTCAAATTACACTCATAGAAAGGCAACTACAGTAAGGTGCCCAAAGGGTTATGCATTTGTCTGTTCTGCACCCAAGTTTTCGTGAGTAACAAGTGCCAAGGCACATTAAAATAAAAAATAACCAACTTGCGGGCTATGTCATAAAATCTGTACAAAGAACCCAATCTCCATCTTCTGTAAAATTGTCTTTAAGGCCCCACCCAGGTCTTAGCTTCCTTAGAGTGCTACAAGAGAAAACTCAGTGTTTATCATTATGACCCCAGGGGACTACAAGGTTGCTGGTTTTTTAATGATCTCCTAATTGTCAGAGAAACGTTGTCTTATTCAATATATTTATAATAATCTAATGCTTTTGAAACCACTGTGATTGTGAGTAGGAAAACATTACCAATCATTCTGAATATTTACTTTGTTAAAATATTTCATTTTCTGATCATTCTGGGCCATTTACTATATAATCCTTATAGATGAATTTTTGTTTTTCTTAAAAGAAGGGGGACTTTATGGGGCTAGATCTCAAAGGTTCCACGCTTGGCTGTAAAGACTCCCTTGGACTGCTTTTTAGTTGTTGGCTGTAGCAACTTGTTTTCTTGCAGAGATGAAGCATCTGGTTTTTGTTATCTCAATGATGCTGTCCTGGGAATATTAAGATTGCGACGGAAATTTGAACGTATCCTCTATGTGGATTTGGATCTGCACCATGGAGATGGTAAGCCCTTCAGTTTCAAAGATACTTCCCTGCTAGGACAGCAGGTTTTGATCAGTAAAGCTACTTCTAGGCAACTAATAAAAGGAGAAATGCCTAATGCAATTGAACTGTTCCCAATTGTCATTTCTGGACTAGGTGCTGCATGGATTCCTCTGACTAATGCAGTTCCCCTCTGCTGCCCAAGGCGGGCAGGCCCCTGTCATTGCCCCTCTCCTGTCTCCTGAAGCTAAACTTTATAGTAGAGAGTAGAAGAATGGGGAAGTCTTGCTCATGTTTATTCCAATGTCCAGGAACCACTCTGGGGCCTTTGAATGGGTTCTAGGGGAACTCTTGGGTTAGAGGTGATGGTCTTCTCTCTTCTCATCAGCGTTTCTCTCAAGGTAGAAAGGCTATATGAAGGACCAGCATTTTGGAGTTTTCACCAATAGCCCACCAGTTCATGGAGTGATCACTTTCTTTGTGTTACCAACATATATAATCCTGGGATAGGAGTACATTGCTAGAAACAAACAATTAAAGATAACAGCAAAGGGTTAAAACAAACATCACACACATTGAGAACCATGCCCCTGAATTTCTGACTACTTTCCAGGTTGGGACACAGCCTTGATTTAAAATGTTCATAGCCTCTTCATTGCCCATTACAAGGGGCAGCATGTCACAATGGCTTATTTTTATATGACCAGTGAGCTAATAATGGGTTTTCATTTTTTTGGGCGGGGTTCATTTTTATTTTTATTTTATTTTTTGTTTTTTGAGACAGGATCTCATGCAGCTCTGGAACTCACTCTGTAGTCCAGGCTGGCCTTGAACTCAGAGATCCACCTGCCTCTGCCTCCTGAGTGCTGAGATTAAAGGCATGCGCCACCACCTTCCTGGTGGGTTTTTATTTTTAACAAGATTGTAAAATACGTGTGTGTGTGTGTGTGTGTGTGTGTGTGTGTGTGTGTGTGTGTGTGTATAAATGTGTGCAGAGGTTCTAAGTAGTTTAGGGCGTCTAGGATGTTTACTGTCTAGCGACACGTACTTTGATGGCCCCTAGCCTAGAGAAATGGTACTCATACATGATTGTGCATCTAGGTGATCTGGGGAAGTTTATTTTAAGTGCAGATTCCTGTGCCACAGGTATTAGATACTCAGAAGAAGCAGGTCAGTCATATAGTCTCCCCTGTAAAAACACTTCAGTTGTACTATAGATCACCCCTTGAAAACTGTCTTCATTATGGAAAAGTAGACTCCCCCC